AAAAAAAAAAAAATGATGAAAAAAATGAAAAAAAAAAAAAAAAGTAATAATAATAATAATAATAATAAATTTCAATCGCAAAATTTAGTATAAAAATGATTCGCGCCTGATTATTTTATTTTATTTTTTTTATATTTTTTTTTTTTAGATTAATTTGTTATCATAATAATAATAATAATAATAATTAATAATTTGATTAATTTTTGATTCGTCAAGACGGGAGTTTTCGTTGTTAATTTTTTTTTTTTTTCATTCTGGAGAAATATTAATAATAATAATAATAATAACGTTAATTTATTTGCATACAATACAGTTAAAAAGAAATTATATTAATTTGTCGCTATTGAAAAAACGGGCCTTAAATTATTTACGATTTTAAATTTAAAACAAACAAACGAAGGAGATAAATAATAATAATAATTTATATATGTCAAGGCGGTGATTTTCAATATTTAACCAATAATGTCTATAACGGTCATCATCATCATTCATCAATCAATCAATCAATCAGTAATGAAATCAATAAGTTTTTCTTTAATTTTTTTTTTTAAAAATTTATTTTGTTAATTTTTTCAACATCTCCTGCAGGAATAAATAAATGAAATATAAATTTTTATTAAAAATAAAAACTATAGAAAGATAAAAAAAGATGAAAGAAGATAAATAATAAATGTTATTGTTATTTTTACTGTATAATTTATTATTATTAAATTTCATATATAAATATTTATATGGAGTTTAACCTAGTCTTTAAAATCGGGGGCAAATTAATTTTTAATTTTCTTTTCTTTTTTTCTTCTGGTTTAAAAAAATTTTTTTTTTTTTTTTTTTTTTTTGGAAGAGCTCATCAGAAAAAGCTCAAAAATTAATTAATTATCGAATATTAAAAAAAAAATAAATAAATATATATGCACACATATAACTTCGGGGCCAGTTATGTATTGCAATATTTTTATTAAAACTAAATAAATTTTTTCATAAGGGGAATTTTCTCTCACTGAAAACTGCATTAAAACGACCTGGCATAGAATTCTGACCTCGAGTATTTGGATTTGCAATAATATTAATAATAATAATAATAAATTAATATATAATAATACATGACATATTTTTAGAAGAGAAAAAATAAATATATAAAATGTATAAAAGAAGATAAAAAAAATTTTTTTTAAATAAATAAATAAAAGATCCGAATGAAAATAACGAAAAGAAATTTAAAAAAAAAAAAAAAAAAAAAAAACTATTGATTTTTTCAGTTGATATATATATGTAGTTTATAAGGTCTTCCTGTAACAAAGATATGAAAAATAAACCGAAAAATTTTGAAATAAAAGCCTTTTAAAATAATTTTTTGTCTCTCTATTTTTTCTGTTGTTTCCTACCATTTTAAAATAAAAAGGTAGAAAAAAATAATTAAAATTTTTATACAATAACAATTTAATATTTATTGCAAATAATACAAAGGTTTCTTATGATTTGTGCTGACTGACTGACTTCTGTTGTTGTTGTTGCTGTTGTTGATCGTTTTTTACAAATATCACACATCTTATTCCTTTTTTATTATTATTATTATTTGTTTTAAATATCATGTTAGTTTTCACTTATTTATTAAAAAATCAATTAATTAATATAAATTATTAATGAGCCGTCATTAAATATATATATATATATATAAAAAACAATAAAATTAGAAATTATAATCAAAATTAATTGCTTAAAGCTTCGATTTCTTTTTCTATTATTTTCTTATATTCGCTGAAACCTCCTTCTATCGCTCTCACATTTCCATTTTGACAAACCCACAACTCATGGCAAACCATTCTGATTAAACGTTCGTCGTGTGAAACTAATATGACACCACCCTAAAATATAATTATAAAAATCTTTTACACGACCTTTTGATTAAAGAAAGATGGATGAGTGGGGTGTGTGTGTGTGTGGGTGTGCGTGCGAACTAACCGTGTATTTTTGTATTGCTTTACCCAATGCTTCGATGCTTTCTATGTCTAAATGATTGGTAGGTTCGTCGAGTACCAAAAAATTTGGATTACCCAAACACATTCTCGCAAATGCTACCCTACTTTTTTGACCTCCCGACAAGCTAGCTATTTGCTGAAGTGCGAGATCACCGGATATGCCAAAACTTCCCAATTGTCGCCTATACTCTTCGATTCGTTTACCTGAAAGGTTTCATTGTGGAAAGGGATGATTGTCAGACGATACAACTACCCTATTAATTTGATGTCGCGGCTTTGCCAACTTTAAAAAAATAAAAAAAATATGATGGGTACTTACCGGGTGCCGTACTCTGTAGTAATTCGACTGAATTTTGCGTCATGTCCAACTGATCCACGTGATGCTGACTGAAATAACCAAATTTAAGATTTCTATGAACGTGTCGTAGTCCTTTCGTCGGATTTAATATTCCCATGACAATTTTTAACAATGTCGTTTTACCCGCACCATTTTCACCAACCTGCAAAAAAAAAAAAAAATATTATTAAATCATTTGATGATGAATTATCAGCCATAAAATAAAATCAATCAATCAATCAATACTTACTATACAAATTCTAGATTCTAATGTGGCACTTAAATTAACATTGTTGAATATCACATTGTTCGGTGTATAGTAAAAGGACACTTCATTTAATTGTAATATCGGTGGAGACAAGGCATCCGTTTCCGGAAATTTCAACACAACTTCCGTTTCTTTTTCCACGGGTTTAAGTTCAGGTCTAAAATGTAATTCGCATAAAAAAAAATAAAAATGAAATAAAATATTTTGTTTTTAAAATTTTGTGATATCATAAATGATGGAAACTTACAATTTTTCCAACATTTTTATTTTGCTTTGTACAGAAGACGCCCTGTTGGCATTGTAACGGAATCTGTCGATAAATTCTTGTACGTGAGCTCGATGTTGTTGCTGTGCTTCGAATTCTCTCTGCTGATTTTTTAATTTATCAGTCTTTGTTTTTTCAAACGTTCCATAATTTCCCCTGAAAAAAAAAATAAAAAATTTTTTTTTGTTAATCAACAAATTATTTACAGCAAATGTAAAGCAAATTTGTTCAATGTACCTATAAGACTCGATTCTTTGAGAATGAAGATGTAATATGTCAGTAGGAACAGTTTCGAGGAAATTTCTGTCGTGAGAAACAACAAGTAAAGTTGTAGGCCAATTTTGTAAATAATTTTCTAACCAAATAATTGCCTTTATATCCAACATGTTTGTAGGTTCGTCCAAAAGAAGAAGATCAGGTCTGTAAAAAGAATGATTTTAATTAAACTCATTATAATTTTTAAATTATATTAAAACTCGAAAAGAAAGAAAATACTTGGAAAAAAGTGCCCTAGCCAATGCTAATCTCATTCTCCATCCTCCAGAAAAAGTTTTTGTCGCTCTTTCTTGCATTTCCTTTGTGAATCCTAAACCATTTAATATGATAGAAGCTCTGGCTGGTGCTTTTTCAGCTTCTATATGTTGAAGTTTGGAATAAACTTCACTTAATCTAGTACTAACTTGTGAATCACTTGTGCTAAAAAAAGAAAAAGCTAAAAAGGTTAGAAAATTTTTCTTAAAATTACAATTAGTTTATAAAAAAAAAACAAAGCATTTCAGTACCCTGCATTTAGTAAAGTAGTTAATTCCTTTTCTTCTTTTAAAAGTTGTGTTCTGACTGTATCAGATTCTAATACACTTTCAAGTGCAGTGGTATCATCACCTGTTACTTCTTGTTCCACATGTAATACAGATATATGAGATGGAATGGCTAATTGTTTACTAGATATCATTCTAAGTAAAGTGGTTTTCCCTAAACCGTTTCTACCTACTAAACCATATCGCCTACCAAATGCTAATACTAAATCTGCACCTTGGAGTAAAATTCTAAAAAATTTAACTGATTAGTAACTTTAAATAAAGATTTTGATGTATTAAATTTAATGAAAAATACTTACTTGTCTCCATAAGCAACATCGAAATTTTCAATTCTAATATCTTGCGTTCTATTCGTTCCTTTGGCCTCCATTTTCATTTCCTTCTTACTAGTGACTTGTGAAGCTGTTGCCGTTTCTAATTTGATTACTGCTGGAGCTTTGGAACTGTGATCTATTCTTCTCTTTTCCTGCTTTTGCTGTAGTTTAGCTTCAGCTTTTTCTAATTTTTTAGCATCAACTTTCTGTAAAAAAAAAAAAAAAAGTTTTATATTAATTTTAAAAGCAAATAATATTTTGTGATAATTGTTGTAATTTTAGTTTACCAATGTATCATCCCTTGAAATAACCCATATACTTTTTAATTCTTCTACATTATTTTCTAATGTGGCTGCCATACTGCCAAGATGAACAGGAGCCCCTAGAACTTTGTTAGAATGATTTTTTTCTGGTAATTCTACTTTTTCAGGTTTTAGTATACCTTTAAAAATAAAATGATAAATGTTTTAAGTTCAGGCAATTAGGTATTTTATTAAAATTTAAAAAGCTAATAAAATTATGAAATATTTTACCTAATAATCTTTTACAAACATTTTTTACATCATTTTCAGTTTTCTCTTGTGACACTTCATGTAAAAGAGCTCCAATAGCCTCATAAACCTCTTCACTGTCTTCAAAATCATCTGCTCCACTTGTTAAAATTCCTAAAATACAAGTAATTTAAAAAAAATTAAAAGAAAATAATAAGTTCTGATAAAATATTATTTATATAATTATCAACTTAGTATGGCTGTCTGATAAATTTTGTTAAAATTTGTGGCATTGAAAGTGATTAAGCCAACTGAAAGAAGTTTCAAAAAATTGTCGAATGTATATTTTAAAAAAAGACAATTTTTTAATAAATTTTGTAAAAATAAATCAATTCAGGATGTAAAAACATACGGTTTAAAAAAAAAAATAATACACCGGACAGAGCGAATAGGCTCATCAAGAAGATAAAAGTAAATGTGAATTTTAAATTTATTCTAAAATTCTTTAAAAAAAATTTATTTAAATAGTTTCGATAAGGAATGTAATCATCATACCTTCAACGTATTGATATAATTCACCATCTATTTGAGGAAACTCGGACCTTATTAATTCTTCATATGTGGCCATATTTAATGGTTAAAAAACTGCAACAAGTCGAAATGTGATCGTAAGTTCCGTTCGGTATATGGCCAAAATGCGAATTTACGAACAACCTTAAACAAAAAAAATTAAAAATAATAATAACAAAATGGCATCCGTCACAGCTGTTGTTGGTGTCAACATTTTTCGACATCTTTTACCGTAGGAAGCATTGCTTTTTCTATTTATTACATAAATGAAAGTAAAATATTTATTTGAATTCCGGCTTTGCTAAATGGGCTGTTGATTTCCTACTGCGCTGGTTTAGTTTTTTCGGCTGCCTTTAATTGCTATCCAGATTTTTAGTAATATTGTCGTAGTGTACCATGTTGACATTGACCCAATGATGGATGGCCGGTCACTTTGTTCTTGGACAGGAAAATGCAAAATTTGAAAAGGTATTAACCTAGTAGAAATATATATATATATATAATAAAAAACGTGCAAATTTTGCAATTATTTATCACGATTTTTTTTAATAAATACAGAAAGTTTTAGTTATTATTGAAAATGACAAACTAATTTTTTATTTACTTAAAATATTAAGTATTAATAACAAATCAGTCATTCTGATGTAAAATATATTTTTATAGAAAAAAATGTAAATAATTTAGTTTTTTTAGATTTAAATTACATATTTTATAGATTCAAATTTACAGTTTGTAATTGGAATATATATATTTTAAATTAATAAATGATTGTTTGCTGTGTTGAAAAAAAAAAGAAAAATGTGATAATTTTAAAATTTCAAAACTGACCACACTCATTAATTTTAATAAATTAAATTAAAATCAATCACTTTTATCGAAACATATTTGTGTTTGAATTATATATATATAAAGACTTATAATATATGTATCTTTACAGAAAATGAATACATATTCACATAAGTACCTGAAATTAAAATGAACTGCTTTTCACTGTTCAAGTTTACTAAATATTATCTCAAATTTGTAAGTATTTTATTTTTTCTTTAAAATTTTTTACTTACATTTTATTTATATGTAAACAAAATTATTTTACTTCAATTACAACATAAATTTTCTTATACAAATTTACAAAATAATTTTGTTTATGCAATTTTGAAACGACATCAAAATCGTAGCCCAAAGTCAGTCGAAATTAATTTTTAAATTTCTTCTCATATTCTGGGGGGGGAGGTTTTACTTTAAATTAAATTATTATACAATTAATTAACATAATTCATGACAAAATAACAAATAATACAAATTTGTGAGGAATAGAATTCATCGCAATAATAAAATTTAATTATTAGATTGTTCTGCGCCTTATTTATATTTATTCAATTATTTTTTTAAGGTAACAAATAAATAATTAAGAGAAATTCATTTTTCTATATCAGCTGATATTATGTAAGATTTTTTTTTTTTCGAATAATCAAATCAGTCAGACAGACAGTTAAGAGAAACGAGAAATTTTTTTATCAATCATCATCATCATCATCATCATCATCATCATATTTTAGATAATTTTTGTTTGAATGACAAAATGTAAAAGTTTCTCATTTTTAAAGTCACATAGATTTTAAAAAAAATTTTCCCACAAAAACAAAACACTATCATTATCATTATTTGCTTTTTCGAGTAAACTAAATAATTCTGTTACAGCTTATCATTATTATTTTAATAATATCAAAAGTCTTTTATGTTTTCTACATTTAAAAAATTAATTTATGTATTTATCAAAGTTATTAATTAAAGGATTTTAATTTTAATAGGAAAGAATACTTATGTATTAATTATGACAGGGTAATTAGAAAAAAAAATCTATATTTAACATTTGTGCCCATTTTTTCTTTTTTTTTTTTTCTTTGTTAATTCTTATTATTAATTGTAAAAAAAAAATGATGATGATGATGATAATTTTTTTATGGTTTCAAATTAATTTTTTTCATTGTTAAATTTAGGTATTTAAATTTAGGTATTCAAATTTAGGTATTCAAATTTAGGTATTTAAATTTAGGTATTAAAAAAATTTTGGTTAAAACGATTGGGTAGAAAGTCATGTAATGTAAGGGGTTGATATAAAGTGTGTGAACACTTAAACAAAAATGACTTGACTGACTGATTGACTGATTGATTGACTGATTGATTGACTGGCTAATTCAACTAATTTTTTTCTTTCAATTATTATCGATTTGAAAAAGTTTCAATCAATTTTTTTTTTTTTTTTTTTAAAATATCGAATTCATCAATTGCTGATTTGAAAGATTTTTGTGTGCGCATGTTTAAAAGTAGGACTAGGTAAGGTGATGCAATAATTGTACTGAACAACAACAGCAGCAGCAGCAGCAGCCTGTTGTTGCCCTTAAACTATAATATCAAATTAATAAATTTTTCTTTTTTTTTTGTTTTATTCTGTTCAAAAACAACAAAAATTTGTCGTGAGTTCGTTGTTAATTTTACGCTGATAAGGCTATTAAAAAAAAAAAAAAAAAAAAAAATTTATAATAATTCATGTCATCGAACGACGTTGCCTCACTCTATTTTTTGCATGACTATATACCTTAAAACGACAAACACAATTGAGATTTAAAGTTTGGGGGCAAGGGGGCGGAGGCGAGGGCGAGGACGGGGGAGGAGGAACCACAATCGTTAACATTTCGTCGGGATCGATTTTAGTTTTGTATCGATTATTCACAAAATATGATTTGTTTTTGAACCAATGAAGAAGATTATTTAAAAATCAAAGAAGGTTAACGATAATAATAATTTTTTCTTAGGTATATTTAGGCATGGGAAATTAACATTCGATTGATTAGTAATTGTCGGTTAGATTTGCGATTTTCTGTGTTGCAACATTAAACTTTTCTTTTTGTTTTTGTTGTTATTGTTCGTCTCGCCTTTTAAAATTTTTATCAATTAAAGGTGATGATAGGGTGGTGTTTGCCATTATATTGATTGCGTAGGTACCTGATAATGATTGGTATCTGATAAGAGAGGAGAGGAATAAACAATCCACCTTTTTCATCCCCGAAGTAGGTTTGTTAGTTAATGAAAGGAAAAAAAATTTAATTTCAAAAGAGAATTGGGAATCCCCTTCTATTTCAATTATTTAAATTTTTTCTAGAAAAAAAAAAAAAAAAAAAATCTCCACATTTTTTCTACTCACGCGCTCTGTCGTCATTTTATTTTTCAAAAGGTTTAATTGAAATTCGATGACGCGCAACAATAATAATAATAATAATAATAAAGAGTGGATAAAATGTAAAATTCTATTAGATGTGTTGAGATTTTTTTCAAGCTTCTCCCACTCGAATGGCTTTGATGAGTGTTTTTGCATTGTTTGTCGCAATTGCATTTCTAGAAAGTGTGACGGGATCGGTTTTATGCTTTCCAAAACGAAGCCTCGATGATTTTTGTATTATACCGTTGAGTTCTTTAATCGTGTTAACAATGTCGGAATAATTAGACGATCGTATTTCGTAACACGTTTGCAAATCGTTATTCAATTCGTTCAATTCGTCGTAATAACGAATCATGAGTTTCCAATCTTTCAACAGTCTCGCATCTTCGCTCCTTATCAATAAATTTCTTATCAAATTCGTTTTGTCACCCAAATCCAAATTGAGTTTATTTTTAACGGATTCCAAATCCCTGAGTTTTTCCAGAAGTTGAACGCAATTTTGTTCTTCTCTCGGATAATTCGCAATCGATTTCAAATGAGTCAAATTTAAATACGTTCCGAGGGATTGTATCAAATCTCCGGCGAGTGTCATGTTGTCCGTTTGTATTTTCACTTGTCCCGATTGATTCATGGAAAGGGCAAAAAATTCTTTTTCGTCTCGGAGAGAAGTCATGTGGAGATTTAAATCCGACGTCGAATTTATGTCGAGAGGATTCGGGAGTAAAAAATTACGATTTATCCAAAGCATGACTCTTTGTATTCGTTCGTTTAGAGTAAACGTGACGAAGGAGGAAGAAGTGACGTCGGTCGGAGGAGGAGGAGGAGGATTCGACATCATGGAATACATTGAAAATCTCGGGAGTTGTCTCGTGAGTTCGAAAACGTGAAATTGTTGACTTTCCGGATAGCCGACGAGTGCTTTTATGTGTATGTCTATGGGTACGTCGCGGGGGGGATAGAGTGACACGCTGAGTTTATTGCTCACGTCTATTAATTTCGGATGTTCGACATGTGTTTCACCGTTGAATATACCCTCGGCGAAAACGATTATGCTACGAATGATTGTGTCGTTGTTTGTCGATAGTACGACGTCAACGTGCGGAATTTGCTTTCCCATACCTTTAAGGAAAAAATAATGATAATGTTGATTGCGTTGTTTAAAAGGAAGGAATGAGTATATATTTTGGATAATACATACCTAAACCGATTCCGATGGACGTTTGCAATCTTGTTTTTGCTGGAATGGCTCCAAATGTGCTCTCATCCATCATCATTTCACCAGAATTAACGTATTTGACGTTACATTCGTAATTTTTTAACTCTAGCAGAAGGCTTTGTTTTCTCGCGAGGAGTTCTCGTATGGCTTCTTGTTCGAACGAGGGTTCCAATTTTTTAACTTCCATCAATTTCGGCGCGTTCGGATTGAAAATTTTAATTTCTCCAGTCGTTGACACGACTATCAAATCGTTTTTACCCGTTCGACGACAGTCTCCCTCGCACAATCCGGCGACCGTGTTTTGAAAATTATCTTTGAATAAAACTTCGCCGGTTTTCAAATGTCTCCCGTCGACTTTTCCTCCCTGCCATCCGGTTATCAATTCATCGCATCCGTCTCCGTCGATGTCGTACTTGAGAAGGCAAGTGGGTCTATTTTTCGATTTGACTCGCCACAAACGATTTAGTTTTTCGTAGACGCCGACGGTTCCGTTGGCGAGAGTGTACGCGAATAAATCGTTTCCTGGAAAAAAAGAAAACTTTTTTTAGTATGAAAAATTTCAACGAGAGTTTCCGGTTTATAAATTTTCCCCTTACCGACGTTGACCAAAAACGTCACGATTTGAGTTTCCGTTATTTCGTGCACGAGGTCTTCGTTTTTGAATATTCTTATGTCGTAGTCGTCGGAACCTACGACCAATTCATTTTCACCATCGTTGTCGACGTCGATGAGTGCCAAAGAACGAACGTCGTCACCGGTGACGATCCAAAAGATTTCCACGCCCGTTTTGTCGAATCCTTGAACGGAATAATTTCCTCCGACGAGTACGAGTTCCGAGGTACCGACTGTGCCGAATTGAACGACGTGACCACCGTCGGACAATTCTTTCGTGAAGACATCTTGATTTTGATGAACGTTGTAAACGAATATGCGATTGACGGTGCAAATGAGGAGAAGATCGAAATCGTCATCTTTAAATCTGGCCGTTCCTATGCTCGTGATCTGATTGGGGAAATTTAACGTTCGAACGTTGTCTTCCGTTTTCGTTTTATTTTCGCAATGTTGCAAATCGTAAATGAAAATTTTATTAGAATTCGATACGAGAGTAAGGTTGGGTATTTCGTTTTCGTATTTTCCCAACGCGACCAAACCCGGTTGGATTTTTTGATTTAAATTAAACGTTATTATCGAGTTTGTCGGCATGATGGATGATGGATTTTCCATAAAAGAAAAATTTTTCTCTCGGTGTGTCTTTCGTCACGTTTCATTAAATAATTTCAAACGTCGTTTATTGCTTACTTATTTTTGAAATTACAACATTATTAGGGTCACTTTCCTTCTCCTCCTCCTCCCCTCATTTTATTTTTATTACGAAAAAGCAAAAATGGATTCGTCATAAAACTCGTAGGATTCTTGTGGAAAAGCACTTGAAGATCCCCCCGGTGAAAAAAAAAAAAAAAAGAATTATTATTATCGCATTGATTTTCTTTTTTTTTTTTTTTTTTATTCTTTCGCGTTTCGCGTTTTTTTTTTAAAAAGAAAAATACAGACACCCACACAATCAAAATGGACGAATTCTTTTTTTATTTTGTCAAAGTTAAATTTTATTTATAATAAGAGTTAGAAAAAAAGAAAAGCGAAAAACAAAAAACGAAAAACGCATACCGTCCGTCCGCGGTTTGTATTCATTTTTTTTTTTCGTTTTTGTTTCCATAGAGATGAAAATTACGACAGGGTTACCAACTTTTCGACTCGAAATATCTTTTGACGCTCAAAGCTTCTTTTAAAAGGAGGGAGACAAAAAAAAAAAAAAAAAATTTTGAAAGTGTTCTTCCATGTAATTTCAACGTCGGTTAAAATTAATTATTTTAATAATAATAATAATAATAATAATAATAGTAAAAGGTTTCGTTTTTGTAATTTTAACCTAACGAAAAAAAAAAGGGGGGGGGGAAACGTTTTATTTAAATAAGAGGAAAAATGATGTTGATAATGATAATGATAACGATGACGTTGTTAATGTTGATAAAAAAAATTTTCAACCTGACTTTTAAAACGTGGGCTTTTTAAAGAAAAAAAAAAAAATGAGTTCAAGGTTTTGTTGCTTTTTTGGGGGGAGGGGAAGAGAATTTTTCGTTTTTTTATTTGCGAATTTTCTTTCTTTTTGGTTTTTTGGTTTTTTTTTTTGGGGGGGGGGGTTTCATTATTGTTCGTTACGATCGACCTTTGAACTTTCACACGATTGTATCATTCAATGGCTTTGGTGGTGGCTTTCACGTCAATGTCGTTCTTTATACTCTTTCTTTTTACGTTGTTGGTGTTGGTGTAAGGCTAAATCTCACTTAAATGGAATTAATCCCGCTTCAATTGCATCGAAGGAAAATGAAAATGAAAGGTCGCGAGATATGTAAAAAAAAATTATTCAGGTTTAACAAATTCTAAGAGAGAGAGAGAGAGAGAGAGAGAGAGAGAGAGAGAGAGAGAGAGAGAGAGAGAGAGAGAAAGTAAACGTGGTAAATGAGATGGATCCTAAAACCAAGATGCTGGAACGTTTGAAGAAATCGTGAAATTGATGCCATCATCATCATCATCATCATCGTGATCATTTTGTAAAATTTTACACGAGTCAAGGTGTCTAATGAAAAGGGAAAAGAATTAAAATTTAAGTACTTTGGAAAATTTATTCAAGGTTTTTAATTTTAATTTTTTTTTTTTCGACTTTTAACTTTTAATATTTCCGACGTTTTCACCATTCGATGTAATCGTCGAATCTTTTTTTACCCTCGAGCACGCACCTTCTTCCCTTTTTTTTCTTTTTCTTTAATGTTTCCATTTACGGATGATTCAAGGCGTTGTTAAAAAAAAAAAACTTAATTGAAAAATTTTATTATTATTATTATTATTATTATTGTTGTTTTGTAGAGAACGTTAAAAATCGGAAGGAAGAAAGAAAGGAAGGAAGGAACGTGGTTACGAGGTTTTACGTTTGTGTTAATGATAATTGAATTTAATTATAAAAAATGAAGGAAGACGTGTGATGACCGGTCATCACGTGACTTATTTGGTTTAACTTATTTATTTAAAAAAATAATAATAATAATAATTACGAATAATTTCCAAAATTAAAACATGCGCACACACACAAAGAGAGAGAGAGAGAGAAAACGTACAATTTAAATGGGTGATTTTTAAATTTTGGTTTCGAACCCGTACCCCCAACCTCTCCCTCCCCTCCCACCAGGTTCTGGAGAAATTTTTTATTTTTTTGTTGCTGGACGACAGACGAAAGAATCAATTGATTGTTTTTATTATTATTATTATTATTATTATTATTATTATT